AACTCTCACAAAACGTTTTACATTATTAAAATTAAATTTCATTTATTGCAAATCAATGAAAATTAATCAATTAATCAAAACTATCCTTCACGAATTGCTCCTATGGCAAAACTTTTTCCCTCTAGTACATGTTGTCTAGTTTTCCTTTCATTTATTATTTTCAATTCATTAGTTACGGTCTATTTACTGGCCAACTTCAAACAGCGAAATAAAAAGCAGTAAAGTGTGGCTTATAACTTTATTCAATCGATGTGTATTCGGGTTAATCGGCTGTAGTGTAGCCTTTAGGCCGAAATCTGGCGAACTGATGATAAATACACAGCTCGAACTAAGCCCGTGGATCCTAACTACTGACGTCGGCAAATGCTGTTAAATATGATATAAGGACGAATCAAGCAAACAGACAAGCAGGCGTTTCTTTTTTGAACCCCGTGTTTTCTGTTTTACCCACTACATTCGCTTAGAACCGCAAATAAATACTAGGAATTATTTATTTATTTATTTACTCTTAAAATATCCAACGGGTGAAACCCACTTCAAGGATAAGTTTTAGTACGAGAAAAAAAAAACATTAATGAAAAGAAGCACTAAAAATACATCCTAAAAATTAATATAAAAGTTACAAAAGAATTATTATACAGCATATTCACAATTAGAGCGCACACACAAGAATTATACAGCGTATTCACAATTAGAGCGGCTGAGAGGGAACACTTTTTATTTCTCAGTTTACGGGAAAAAGTCATTCGTTGGGTGATAGGTTATCATAAAGCATATGTCATATCTTTCAATGGAATTGCCATTTTTTGTCTATACTGCTTAATGTATTTACAGGAGCAATCAAAACAGTTTCATTGAAATTTTGATGTAAAAGTTACATTCTAACCAATTTTTCTTTGTAACATTTTTTCGTGTCAATAGAAATAAAGGCACTTTATTATCATCTTCAGTTTTTCCATTTTCTGGACAACCTGAACATGCAAACTTAACATTATCCATGATAACCTCGTCTTAAAGACGAGCAAAATATTGTGTTTTATCTCTTGTTCACTCTAATCATGGACATATGTAGTTTTTGGACATTAGAGCAGTCACTAGACGCAACTTGTTCTAAAATCGCTGGGTCTCCGCGTTGCAAAAGCTAGGAAAGACCAGACCGAAGCAAATAATCGTGAATATAGAACAAACGGCAATTTCCGTGCGCAAAAGTACATATTGGTAGCATGCTGCTACAAATTACGGATAAACTTAAACTGCCCCATTAACCGGAGCAATAATTGCGGGGCTTTAATATAAAGTTGCCAAATAGAATAACGGCCGAAACAATTTTAAACTTTTTCGACTTTTATGGAGTTAATTTCAGCCGGTTTATGTGCTCGTATAAAATTTTACCCTCCGAATTTACGCAGGGACGCCGTGTTGGCTAATAACTCATTATCATATCAAAATTAAGACATACCAGGGGTGTATTCGTCAATTTTGCCTTCACATAACTTTTTATACTGTGCGGCTTTATGGGTGGTTGAATTTAGTTGGAGTTTAAGCGTAACTTTTAGCTCTGTTACGATTCGCATGTCCCGATATTGTTTAGTTGATCCGTTATAACTTTTATTTTACAATTTCGGAGAATACGAGATGCTGACAGCCTATCGGAAGATTAGCACCCTACTTCAAGCTCCACTTCTTAATGAAACTAAAAAGATCTAATCGCCGATCCCGTGTCAGATCAAAGCTTAATAAAACATCCACCCGTCCCTTTGATCGCATCTACAAAGCCTGCGTGCCGTTTTAAAATCGTTTACTTGCAAATCTTTCATCCGGCGGATCGGAGTTATGAAGGCGCTTAGCACATTTCACTCTAGTTATTACATTTAACTGTAATACTTCCTCTCCCGACGATGTAAAGAATTTGTACGGACGGAGGAGTTCGGGATAATGAATTTCTGCGCAAAGTCCTTGACAGCACACGCAGGACCGTCGTGGAGAATATTGAACGTGAAAAAAGCTTGTCAAAAGAGAGTTTTTCCTAGTTCCTGCTTTTTACATAAATATATATCGCTTTAATTAGTTAATTTTCCTGTTTTCAGTATCAAAATTACAACCGAGAGTTAACGTTACTATACAAAATACAAGCCTGAGCAAAATTATCGCACCACTAATAAAACTGGTATTTGATCGCAAATAATTTAAAAATGGCACATTAATTTAACCCCGAAGTCCTTCGTTTTAACATCAGTGCTCAGTTTCCGAGCGTACATTCGGATGTTATTTGAACATGCGACGCCATAAATAACGTACCTTCGTATACGAGTATGTGATTTAGCTAGCAATACACTATAGAGCGTATATTAATTAGTAGGTACTATTGCGAGCACAGCCTCTCGACCTCAGTAATGTTAGTGTAACAATAGACGCGATAACAATTCAATATAATAATTCTAGTCGTTAATGACCAGATGCTCCAGATATAGGCACACTTTGTTGGATTATCGCGACGGATATTATAATTTAATGGCAAAAAATTAACTCGATACAGACAATTACGTATATATGTATATATTATGGCAGTTGCTATTATGTAAATTGATCACGATATGTCTGTTATTTCACGTAATACACTGGAAAAGTACCACAAGGCTCTATAATGGGGGACTATTAATTGATTGTGTCTATAAACGACTTCTCTTTAGATTTGTGATAAGAAACGTGACACTCGTTTTACAAAACTTGATCCATAGTACTTATAAATAAAGTATATTAGTATATCTGATTAATTAACGAACATTGCGATGTGAATATAGTTTAAATAAATAAAAATAGGGCAATGAGTGAATTATTTTGCGCAATACCATGTAAATGTCCCATAGGGCTCCATAGTAAGGGCATTCTTACTAGTACAGACGACTTTGTGCCGATAAAATTGGCATTCGTTTACAAAATTTGTAGTAAATTATAGTTTATAAGTCGTATTAATCATATTATTTTATTACATTGTTGATTTAGTCTAAACAGATCTAAATAGTAAGACACAAGTGTGTACTGTTTCGCGTAACTATTAGAAAAGTACCATAAGGTTCCATATTGGGGACCTTATACTTTATAGTGTCTATAAACAACTTCCTTTTTAGGTTTGCGTGTATTGCAATGACAAAATAAATTTATTATTAAAATTTCATACCTTTTACAACTAAGGAGTGTGGCAAATTATAAATTTTAAATCGTAAAATTGGTTACATGTTTTCTTAACTGAGGAACATTACGTTGAGGATATACAGGGTATATTTAAAGGATGAAGCAGAAGCACAACGGTTTCCTTTAAAAGTAATTGGGAATCAAATGAATTTACATTCAGTGAAGTCGAAATTATGCTGTTCTTAATAACATATCTCTCCCGGCGCCTCCGCCACTTTAATCGCATTCATGTTTGCTTTTACCTTTTTAAGTCGTCTGTCCAATATTCATCATTCTATGTCAAATATATTTGGAGATATTTATGTACGTATTTAAACTCAGCAAAAAAACTGATGGAGCAGAAAAATTTCCAAATTTTTTAGTGATTTTTGAAAAGTTTGTAACATGAATAATGATCATATAATAAGTATCTTGAAGCTTGAAGAATTTAGTTTTGAAATTTTTTTGCGTTATCATTTTTACAATTTTACAATAAATTTTTAAAATGTCGAAAAAAACATTTTTTATTTAAATTAAAAAAAAAATTTTGTATTTTGGTTTTCGATATTTGAGTGCCTATTTAACGCGAAAGTCTGAGAAAAATAACGCAAAACAAATTGTTTCATCTTAATTATTAATTCATGTTTCAGAATCAATAAACCTGCTCCTTTAATTTTTTATAAAACTTTGATGATTTCAAAATTTATAGACCTCATGAACATGTACTGAGCTAAGGGGAAACCTAAAACATTGGTCCTTTTCGTAATATTTGCAAAGTAGTCGTCGATTTTCTAAAACAAAGTCAGTTTTTTGTACTTTTTTAAATTAATGCTGAATATACATATTTTTTTTTCTTAAATAAACCACAAGATCCTTGAAGAGGATTAATTCAGGTTTCCAAAACCCACCTTCTATTCGCTGTACGATCATTAGTTCACGAGATATCGATGATAAAAAAAGGTTACTTTTCACTCAATAGTCGATACCTAGATATCTCAATGAGAAATATTCGTACAGAAAAAAACAAAAAACAAAATGAAGCTGAAGAAACGGCTAAATGACCCCTGCATTGATTAAGCCAGAAAGAAAAATTTCTGAGCCCGTGTAGTTTTAAAAAAAAAAGTGAAATTTTTGCCTCGCTTTTTGCCTCAAGATTTTTAAACTAGAATCTTCAACCTTCAATATGCTTATTTTTTTTCGATACGACCATTATTCACGAAGTCACTGCCTTACAAAAATCATTAAAAAATTTTGGAAATATTTCTACTCCTTTAATTTTTTTGACAAGTGTATTTTTTTTTAATTAAACACTCTGTAACTTGAAAATGAAGCAACTATAAATTAGGTTCACAATTACCATAATTTGGGCTGAAGACTATCAAGGTACTATTTGTGCTGTAATCTAAATGGATACAAACAGTAAAATAAAACATGTGTCCCACAGGGCTCCATACTGAGGGCAATTTTATTTTGTAGTGGTTATAAACGGCTTAGTTTTCGATTTCTACTAATAAACCGACATTTATTCGCAAAACCTTCGCAAAATTGATCAAATTGTCCAACACTTTTTTTAACTGAGAAACATTGCGCTGTGGAAATAAATTTTTTGAGTTTACGCTCGCATCAAATGATAACTCAGTATTCAAAATACGAAACCCGCCGTCCCGCAGCGTGCCTAACGCCAAACATCTCCGAAATGGAACAATATCAATCTCCACACCGCAACGTCTCCTGCAACTGTGGCAGCTTCTCCGTCTAACCCTCGATATGACGGAGGCGCACCCTCTTACCCTCTGCTGCGAGGCCTGGCCATTAATAACGAAACTTACCGCATTGACAGCTGTCATGTCCTTGGGGGCAGGCTCTGACTCGGCTATGCTATCATTCTGAAACAAATAAATGATTAGAGTAAGTGGCGCGGCAGGCGGAGGTGCGAAAGATAAGTTGCGGGACGGATTTCGGACGGTTCAGGGGGGTGGCGGGGGATTCGCTACACTCAGAGAAGCGTTTGTCAAAGGATATTTCTTTCTTCTTACAGTTGCCATTACTTCCACGAACAAACCAGTTTGGTTGATTTTAAGTGTTCTAGGATGATTAGATAAATACAGTTTTGATGAATAAAGCGATGTTGTTAGCTGTAGGGTTTTGTGACTGCCGTAGAAGTGTACGCGTGTATCATGAAAGATTCCCGAATCGTCAAATCATCAAACTTTCAGAAGTATTGGAAGACGTCTTCGAGAAACTGGTAAGTTTACAATAATTGTGAAATTTGAAATTATTATTCTCGATTATAATCCACACTTCCGATCCCGTCGTCGAAATAACAACTTCCCTAAGTGTAGCAATGAAAATTACCAACAGATTTATGAATATCTCCACGTTTTTAAATAGTGAGAGTATAATAATCAACAACGAAATTAGCTCCACAGTAAAATTTGCAGATGAGCACGTATTTTCAAACACTGCATTATTTTTAACATATCAAAAACATTTTTAACTTATATATAAACTCTGCGTTTTAACGGAAGCTGTTTAATTTAAATATTTACAAAACTAGGCTTTTAAAATTCAACATTTAGGTAAATTAAGCGTCCGGGAGATCGATTATCGTGTACTTGTTTATCGTAATGCATCTTACTTAAAAAAAATTTCGCGTAATAAAATGTTTGTTGGGGCGTCCTAATAAAACCGCAGACGTGTTATTTGGCACGGGCGGCTATGAAGTTTATAACCCCCAGAGAGACAGAACAAAAATTTCTGTTTCTCCAGAACATCTCCAGAAAGAATTTGTAAACACGTAATTGATCAGAGTCGATAAAAATATAATAATATCCGTATTTTTAACATGAGATAAAACATGTTCCACAACAATAACTTAGTAGGTAGGTGTCGTTTGAAACATGGATATACCATCCTCCTTAAAGGTAATAATAGGATATGTAAAATAAACAATTTTCATTAAGCAATCTGACCAATATGTCATATTTGTATAGAAAGATCAAATCAAAGAAACAGAAAATTTTAAAAGCGGCCCGCATTTTGTCAGCCGAAATGATCACTTTAAAACATTTCTTAAAGGCTCTTAGAAAATGTTGGAAAGCGCTGGGACAAAAATAATAGAAATAAACTACTTACCATAAATCGATAGTTCAGGCGGTATCTGTTTCGGGTTGGGTAAAACGCATATGATCGGAGATTTTTCCTTTAACGGCTTCTAAATAACATCAGAAATTATAATTTTTCTATGCAAATAAAAAAAAACGTGGGCATAATTGTTATTGCAAAAAAGTATAAAAAAATTGCAAAAAAATCATTTTTTTCTTGGATTTCTCGTCGAAAACTTAGTAACTATTCATTTTAGACAAAAATGGAAAAGGAAGAAAGGTTTTGTAATTAAATTTTGAACAAGATAGAGCTAGTTGGAATTCGAAAAAATAATTATTTTTAAGGTAAATATCGGAAAAATTAAATTTAAAAAATTGCAAAAAATGCTAGTTTATTTGTCAACTTTTTTCAGACACTTGAATAATACCTAGGATCTTCATACTTTTCCCAATTAAACTTCTTAGTGCATAGAATCATCACACCAAATTTCATCCAATTCGGTTCGATAGTTTTTACATAATAATTGTTTAATTTTTTTATTTTTTTTTTAATTAAAAAATTTTCAAAATCAAATTTCTAAATATCTAAAGCCTTTGAATACTTGAAAATTTCACCACAAAAAGAAGAGCTCTCAAGTTTTAAAATGGTTTTTAAAAAATTCAAATAGGACGATTAAGTGAGCCGTGGTGATTTTCGCAATTTTCACGCTTATAAACAATTGCAATAATTTAATGTTTTTTTTTAAATTTTTTTTATTTTAAAATATGGTTTGAAAGTACTCGGAAAGACGAGTATTTAAAAAAAAACTGATGATCCGCCCATTATTTTCGGAGTTATAGCCCGTTAGAGTTAACCCTTATTTACAGAAAAACTATAAGGGTATAAGGGCTGTTTTTTGAACTAATAGGTTTGTCATTCCGAGTACTTTCCAGATATAAATTTTCAAAATTTGCAATCACGGGCTTCCCATTTAAAATATCACTCAAAGATATTCAAGATCGCGTGAAATCAATGAGATATCAGTGGTGGGGGGAGCAAACATACAGCTACTCCGATCTGAATTCTCGAGTTCAAAAATGCTCCGAGTATTGCACCCATTGCCAAGGGCAAATGCGTAAAAATGCTTACAAAACAGTGGAAGTAGACGAGTTCGAAATCGATTTTGAAGAAGACCTGTCAGAAGAAAGTGCAAGTGAACTCGACATCAGATTTCAGAGTCGTTAAAAAATGATATTTTGCAGTTGCAGGACGAGGAAATCGACGACGAAATAGATTGTGATAATCCTGATGACGCATGTGAAAAATCACGAACTAGTAAAAGAATTAGATTAGATTAAATGTAAATAAAAATTTAAAATAAAAAAAAATTGAAAAAAACAAATAATTATTGCAATTGTTTATAAGCGTGAAAATTGCTAAAATGTTTAAACAATCACCACGACTCACCTAATCGTCCGATTTGAATTTTTCAAAAATCATTTTAAGCTTGAGAGCTCTTCTTTTTTTGGTGATATTTTCAAGTATTCAAAGGCTTTAGATTTTTAGAAATTTGATTTTGAACATTTTTCGATTAAAAAAAAATTATACAATTAGGTATTATGTAAAAACTATGGAACCGAATTGGATGAAATTTGATTCTATGCACTAAGAAGTTTAATTGGGAAAAGTATGAAGATCCTAGGTATTATTCAAGTGTCTGAAAAAAAAATTGACAAATAAACTAGCATTTTTTGCAATTTTTTAAATGATTTTTCCGATTTTTGCAACAACAATAAATATTTTTTCGAATTGCAACTAACTCTATCTTGATCAAAATTTAATTACAAAACTTTTTTACCTCTTCCATTTTTGTCTAAAACGAATAGTTGCTAAGTTGCCGACGAGAAATCCAAGAAAAAAATGAATTATTTTGTTATTTTTTTATACCTTTTTGCAATAACAATTATGCCCACGTTTTTTTTTATTTGCATAGAAAAATTATCATTTCTGATGTTATTTAGAAGCCGTTAAAGCAAAAATCTCCGATCATACGCGTTTTACCCAAGTATACCCTTTTTAAAACAGCTACCGCCTGGTCTACAAACATTGCTAAAAATTATTTCCACGCATGCTTCTAAGCTGAGGTCAAAACAATCTCTCATGCGTGTCATTACTCCAGGTGGTGCAGGGTCGGTCTAAGTTTTGTGGAATAATTCTCGATTCATTTTCTGACACTTTAAACCCGGTGTCAATTGTAACAAATGACGCCTTAGGTTCCAAGATGATCAGTGAAATTTTTGTTACAACTGACACCGGTCTCCCCTGATCTTTATTCCAGCAGCGTGCCCAAAATGTTAGCGAAGTATCGACTCGGCATCGTCAAAAGCTAATACAAAGCTGTCAATCCGCCGAAAAACAAGGCGCGCGGGGGCGGCATTCCGTTAGTCTTTCTGTTTATACCGCCCTGACAATAAAATTCCTTAACTTGACGTGTCGCAGGGACGCAAATTCTTTTCTGGCGTTTATGAAGGGGCGAATCGAATGTCTCATGGAGCGCGTCAAAAATCACGCGATATTTCACTTGACGTCCACCAGACGCGGGGTTTATTAGTGAGACGTGGGACGACGGGGAATAAGAGAAAACAAGAAGAGACGGCGGCTTATTGTGTCTGTCATGCGGTATGTATTAGGTATCCATTTTTGACGTCTCGATTTATAAGTAATAATACAATAAATATCATATTATATCCCTAACTATGGAAATAGGCAAAGCCAAATAAATTTACACCGCCAAAAGTAACTAAAACGAATAGATTTTTGAAACATCGACAACCTTTTGAAGTACCTACGCGATATACAGGGTGGTCAGGAACTAGAAGAAGCATGGGATTTGTTAAATCACGCAAAAGTTGCATATTTCCATGCTATTTCGGATTATGAAGAGAAATTAGAGATAAGTTACACCGTTCCTGAAATATTCTGAAAAACCTGAAAATTTTTTCTACTTCAACGTGCCAAAAATCGGTACTTATATTCAGGCTGATTCAAAATTCAGTACAAATAATTTATGGGCGTATTTTTGAGGTCAAACTTTTTAAGACTTTTCTTCCTATAAATGTGGTTCCACAAATGCTTAGTTTTCTATATACAGGGTGTTAAAGTTTTTCATTTTTTTCGATTTTTTAGGAATAATTTCCAAACAGATTTAAATGTTGGCATAAAACTTGGGGTACGGCGTTTTTTTAGGATGCTAAATTTAAAAATGTTATTGTTTTTACACCTACACTGAAAAAAAAGTATTTGGATCAAATGACCAGATAGTTTTAAATGGAATTATTTGCCGTAAATGTTATTTTATTCTATTCAAATGTAAATACTTTCGTCAAACTATGTGAAATATTTGCTGTAATCTATAATTTTTCTTAGAATTTATATTATTTGTAAATATATGTAATTTTATTGAAATCTTTTATAGTTTTGAAATTTATTATATCGGACTTTAGCTACAATGCAAACTGCAAATATATTTGTTTCAAAACTACCATTTACTTAAAATATGTGTGTATATTTCAAATTTAGTATTAATGTACGAATTATTCAAGACAAATGTAACATATTATAATTAAACTTATGTCTTCTTGAAAGGAAATTGTAGCAGGTCACAGAATGGCGGTGGTAAATAGCGCGATAGATGAAGCCACTTACGCTCTGTGTATACACATTTCCTTGTGAGTAACGACACTGAAGCAGCTAAATCGTTCTAAAACATAATGATGACGACCATCAATAAGTCCCAAACCGA